GGGTTGATACCTGCCTGGACAGTGGAAGACAGGCAGAGAAGTCAATACCTGCCTGGAAGGCATTGGTGTCCCTAGTAATGGAGGAACATGAATAGACATAGCTGTACAGTCTGGGCCCAGTCACCCTATGATCCCATTGTCTAATATTATGAACATAATTTACCGGTCCTTGTTTGATAAAACTATGTGTATGGTAGATTTGTGGAAGATATATGCAATAAATTATAAGGATATGGTGAGAAATCTTGGCAAGCTACACTAAACATTAACCCCTACATAATACTAACACTACATTGTAGTCACAATATGTATCCTGGGTGTGCACCTGAGTGCTATTCATAGTGTCTACTGCTGGGCAAATGTTTCTGCAGTAGGATCAGGTACTGGAAAGGGAATAAAAAAGAGAAAAAGATTCACAGAAACTTGCATTTATAGCCATCTGTAACCCTGAGTCAATGTCAAATGTCAGTGACAATTAGGGCAGGTCTGAGATGCTAGTATCTGGTAAACTATCTGACTGTTTAGGTTAATAGAATCTACCGGTAATTTATGCCAGTAGGATCCGAACTCAGGAAGTTCAAGTCATGGTGTACTGTTTGGAGAGAACATGCAGATTAGGGTAAGCACTTCTGGTGAATAAATATTGCTTGCTTATTAAGGGAAGAAAAAAAGAAAAGAAAAAAGTATTTAGCAGAAATAGAAAAGATTGTTTAAAAATGCTTTATCAAATTGGTTTAAAGCCACATTATTACCAGCAAAAAGAAAAACATGACTGTTAATATCTGTAAAAACAACGGGGCACATATATTTACATATAAAGAAACATTTGACATTGCAGATGACTTATACCTATATTGAAAAGTGCTTAAGCAGCATTGATTGATATATTTTTCTAAAATGCTAACACACTTTAATTATTCATTATAAGTAATTAATTATTAATTGTATGTAATTCCATTATATAGATCTCTTATCGACCTCAATATGAAAGACTGGGTCAACCCTGCCAGTAAAATGCTATGTAACAAAGGTTTGATCCAGAAATCTTAGTTATGCATGTAAAGGTGTTCAGTAGTATTGGCTGATGGATGTTAGCAACCTCGGCAATGTAATAATCATATCTTAGATGTGTAGATTGTTCTAAGCAACTAAAACAGTCAATACAACTATACAGTTTTTCTCTTTAGCCATTTTAGGTAGTATTGCTTTGCACTCTTAAATTGTGCCCTGATTTCAATCAACATGCAATTAGAAATAATTTGTGTTTTAGACCTTTTTAAAATATATATATTTTTCCATATATCCTTGGAAAATTGATGATTTCCTGGTCATTATGAGTTTAGAAATATGCTGTACGTTTATATTCCAGAATGGATTTTCCCAAATTGCTGTTAGAAAATGAATAAATGGTGTTAGTATGCACTTTTACACCACTCAAGAACATTTACATTCATATTTATTACATGTTGTTCATTTAATATTGTTTAAGGTCAGCTACTCTGTAATGTTTCACTTTACGATACATTTTACTCTGAGTGTGTCTCTACAAGTGCTCTTGTAGGAGTTATTGTTTATGTAGCAGACATTTGTAATGTTTTGTATTGCTGACTCTTTAAACATTAGAATAGTAAAGGGACAAAAGAGGTTTCTGTTCATTTTCTTTGTTTTACTGATTCAGTAGCAGAGTGGTCGGTTAATTGATCAATTGACAATGAGGGCATTTTAGAGACACTCGTGGAAGCTGCACATTCGCTTTTAATAAGGTATGTATGGGTGAAATGCGTTGAGGTGAAGGGTATTGCTGAGTTTAATGAACCTGTTTGCATATTTATATCTTTGTACTTTTTTTGATTGTCACTTTTAGAGATAAAATAAAGACGGTGCGTTTATTATGGATTTGGAACATGCCCCTTCTTAATTTACTGTGTTGTATGGATGTATAAGTAACGGCAGGACTATCCCTGTATAGAACACATGTTAGCACGTTAGTGAAACTTTATTACACACAATAGAACATATTATTTCTTGTCATTTTTATCATTCATTCTGTTTAAATCACTCATAGATATGTTTATACAGTATTTAGCCTGCTGCCATAGTTTAACCTTGTACCTAAAATTGCCTAATTAGCTATTTATTATTTGTGTCTGAGAATTTACCAGTAAAATAGTGTTGTTACCTGTTACAGTATGGTGTGACTTATTCTGTACTTTCTCAGAACACCTCAGGGATTGGTAAGACTATTTGCAGCTGTTGCCATTGGTTCAGCCCCACTCTTGTTACTGTCATAATGGAAGAGGAGCTGAGGAGAGAACAACTCTATCTCTCTCTCCACAGTCCTTTTCCCAGGATGTAGTATCGAGTGATATGCTAAATTGAAGGCAGCAGCTGCAAATACCTTTAAGATTAAAAGAATTCTAGCCATTGCCTTTAATAAAAAATAAAAACTTGACCACATTTGGACATAATGCAAACATTGTTATGTCTCCTCTCTCTTAATATATGTCTGTCTGTCTCTCTGTCTGTCTGCCTGTCTGTCTACCTATCTATCTATCTATCTACATCTATATCTATCCATCTCTTTTCATTAGAGAAAACAGTGTTTTTAAGGATGGTACAAAACATCACGCCTCAGAGAGCAACACATGTCATAAATAAAGAAGCAGTTGTTGAAATCACATAGCATGGCTTTTTACGTACACAGACAGCTGCAAATGTATCATATTGTCAGAGGCAGACAATACAATCTTTTTGGGACATAGATGTAGGAAATTATAGAGCAGCATAGCTATTATTACAATCTGAGGACAGCGAGAAACCAGTTTAGTACTGACAGAGCAAGTGTCCCTCTGAGCAGGGAACAGATGGCACTGCAGCAGACAGCAAGGCCATGGATTGAGAGAAACAGAAATAGTAAATCTCACAGGTCTGATAGTCTTTCATGCAAATTACACAGTAGGCCACATATGAATCACATGAAGCTCCATAGGGAAAATAGGCACACGTAAAAATTACTTTCAAATCTTGTTGCATTATTTTCTTCTCCACCTTGAAGTTTCCTTTCACAAATCATTTAATTTCACCAGCAAGATACCAAGCATATTTTAGCCTGCTGTCCTGTTATTTTAATTACTCGTCAATATTTAGCCATTATATGAACTGTGTCTTTAGTATGTATTAGCATAATAGAACAGAGTCGTTGCTAGGTCCCAAAATAACCTTAGACCTCTCACCTCTTGATCCTTGAGACTCCATATTATTTCACAATTACATTTGTTCCTTATCCCACCTCTACTCTTTTTAATACATAACCTGTAATCACTCATCCAGAGGGCAGTGGTGTAGCCAGTGAACACATGTGCAGATGATTTAAAGTTTAATTTACAGAGCAGGAGAAGGTAAGTTAACATCTGACTGAAAGTGAAACCATTATCTCCATGCAGGCTGTGAGTCACAGCTTAATGAGGTGTGGCTAGGGCTACATGGACAGTAATAAAAGTTATTTTACTCTTAAATGGCAAAGAATTGAGCAGTAAGATGGTAGGGGCATGCTCTATAAACTAACACTGCTTCATTAAGCTAAAGTTGTTTTGATGCCTATAGTGTCCTTTTAAATACCATGTCAGCCAACAGTGGAACCCTGTTTTCAACAATGACTCAAGTTTCTATTGGAATATACAAAGCATACTCTGTTAGGCATTAGTTTATTCCTTCAGATGGGATGTATATATCAAATTGGCATACGTTATTGTAATGAAAAGTGATACACAGAACTCACAAGAAAAGGACATATTTTATTATTCATATACTGCATTAAAGCCAAAATGCATAAACAGAACATCATTATACTGTAACTCACACTTTAGTTGTTTGCTTGAGTAGTAAATCTCGCAGGTCTGATAGTCTTTCATGCAAATTACACAGTAGGCTGCATATGAATCACATGAAGCTCCATAGGGAAAATAGGTACACGTAAAAATTACTTTGAAATCTTGTAGCATTATTTTCTTCTCCACCTTGAAGTCTCCTCTGACAAGCTGTTTAATTTACTGGTAAATTCGAAAATAACAGCATATTTTTAACTCCTAACTAAGTTGTATGGAAGCACTTGCAGTATCTAGCAGCAGGATGGCTGATTAGTTAAGGTGTGGGACTTACGATCTAGTGGACAAATGTCTGCATGGGTTCAAGTCTCACTGCTGGTTTTAATTACTTCATTACTAGAAAACTAAACTAATAACAAATCTTTGAACATTCTCCCTACTAGCCACAAACATAAAAAGAAACACGATATTATGCATATGTATCCTACTCCACTGACAAGAAACTTCAAAGCAGGTAAAACAGACAGAATATTTTCAGACTGTCATTAATGATGTCAGAATAATGCATGACATCACTATGAGCACAAGAATGATGAGCAATGTCAACATGCAAGGTTTAACAATGGTGAAGATACCATGACATACTCCAAGTTTTGACCTCTTAAGTTAAATTGGTGCTTTTTTTTTTTACTTGGGACTATTTAATTTCCAACTGGTTGGTATTTATCAGAACATGATGAAAGAAATCAATCTTTATACTTTGTTTTATCATTTCTGTATTAATTGTTAATCACCTGATTGGCTCACAACTAAACAGTCATACTCTTATAAGATATCTTCAAACTAGACTTGTTTCTGACACTATTGCACTGTTCATTGTCCTCAATGAAATGGTATTGCTGAAATAAATATATCTTTCCAAACAATCTCATATCTGTCTTCTCATTTCAAATTCCACAATACATATTCTCTCTATTTCATCTCTCCGCATTCATGTCATATCCCATCTTTCATTTCATATCTCACCATACACCTTACAGCCACCTCCTTTCAGTTTCTATAATGCCCTGTAGTCTCCTATTAATTCTTAGCTTATCTATCTATTTCACCTTATCTCTCGTCTCCAATTTAGTTAACTTTTACATTCAACCTATGCTTTACCCTCTCCAAAGACTTATTTGGTCAGCTGGTGATGGAAGAGCAGCAGTAAACTATGCCTTGTTTGCTCTCTCAAATAGTTGCTTGTAGTGAGGCACCTGTTGATGAGGGGACGTGTGGATCTGACTTCATATCCCCATACTCATTATGGATTTACCCTTCACTAACAAGTTTGTACTAAGAGACGCACAGATCACCAATGCTCCCATACAATTAAAGCAGTGGCAAAGTGTATATATTATGGGGGCTGCCCCAGTGTGGCAGACCAGTACGTAAATATTGCTTCTATATTCCACTTCTATTTAAATTTGGGGCCAGATTAGCAGTTGCTGTTGTTTGTGGAAGAATGTGATAAGACCAAGGCTAAAATGGATTAATCCTCTGTGTTTGCAAAAAAATGGTGTATATTCAAAATGATAGTTAGGGTACAAAAAACAACAAAAGACGTGTCATTAACACTTTGATACATGAGACATAAAGCAGGACTTACCAACGAGCAAGATAGTTAGTCAATTCTCAGTGTCCTCATATCTCCTGTTTGTTTTTGTTCTCATATAACATCATGACATCATTTCTTGTAGTGCTTCAAGATGGCTGATTTGCCAACTGCTGTGTTTTGAATGCTCAAGAAATACAGCAGCCTAGACAAGAAGCACGTACCAAAAGCTCATACATTTTAAATTAAGTGGTATAACACCTGAGGCCATTGCTAATTTTCAAAGTAGTATAAATTAAAGGAAAACTCCAAGAACCATAACCACTAAAGTGTGATGTTGTGGTTATGACGCTAGGAGTGTCTTGGTGATCCCCTTTGTAAGAAGTCAACTTCGTACCTGAGGTCAGCCAGGTGATGCTCCATGCCTCCACTGTTGCTGAGTGAGATCTGTAAACTGTCTTCACTGAGCTAAGCCCAGTGTTGGAGGGCTTAAGTCCTTGACTGAGAGTGATTAGCTGATACTCTCAGACAATGCGTCTAAACGACTATTTCCTAAAGAGCTATAACAAGTCTGCAGCAATCACCTGGATGCATTCGGTGTCCCTATTAAAATAATTTCTTTCCCATCTGAATCCAGTATAAAGCATAGAATTTGGAAGATTCACAAAGTACAGTTTCTTATAAAATTCAGCACCGAATGCAACAAGCAGGATGCAAGTTTGCAAATTACCGTTCACTTGCCTTCATGCAAGCGAACAATAATTTTGAGTACTATTTCCCTGTTGGCAGCAATAGCAAAAAATGGAAAAAAAATAAGTTGATCTCTTTATTAACATGTAATCATGTAACATGCTTGATGATCAATTACCACACCTAGGATTCTTTATAAATCTAAGTTTAGAGTTAGATTCAGCTCATATAAATTTAAGCAACAAAAACTAAAACCAAAAAAGAAGAAATTGCCCGGGTTAGGTGGGTTAAGGACTTGCAGAACCCCTATCTCTCCATACTATTGCTCACTAAGACCTTGTGAAATGTGGATAACTTGTCCATGAGGCAAGTATAGATTTTATATATTAATATCTCTATATCTACTATGTATGGAAAAACCTCTAAATCAATTAAACAATGTGTGAGAAAAGTGGATTGTGGCCAAAACAAATATTAGAAGGGTTACTTGTTAAAATGAGAATTCAAACTGAAGTCAGTAAATTGTAGATCAAAATTGACAAATTTGAAAAAAATCTCAAGTCACCTTTGATTTTAGTTTGGCTACCCTGGTCTTAAATTTGAAATCCACTTTGAATTGTCACTTTAGTGAATAACCCTGTTAGACCCTGATATTTTGAAAACAAACCATCACACATCCCCAGTCAGTATGTATACTGTTTATATAAAAACAACCATTATCTAGCCATGTAAATAATTAGTAGGAGTTCTACCTTTTTGCTCAATTTTCAGTTTTGCAAAAGTCTTAAAAAAGATTTAGGATTAAAATACCGAATATACCAAGTTTTGGTCATAAAAGTGCCTCTTGCTTAGTCAGCACAATACCGGGATGAGGATCATTATGATGACAATGTAGGATTTATGCTGTTTATAGCCATGTAATCTTTAAATTAACCTCATGCTTTAGATTAGGACAATGTTATATGTTAACTGTTTACAAGTAGCTGTTAGAATGTGGAAACACACATGATGTCTTTGAAATAAAATTGTATTTTAAGGTATAAATAACTGGTATTCTTTTATTAGAACTCTATATTTCTCTCGGTAACTTGCAGTAATCTTTAGCCTTGTATGAATACTGTTTGGGTTAACTCTTTTTTAAACTAATGATAAATAATATGCTATTGAAAGGTGCCTTCAGGTATTGAAAATATTCTGTTTCTCCATGACTTTCTGTAGTATAAAATAGATAAAATACCTACAGCATTATATTATTTACACAATGTTTTGAGTAGGGAAGCCCTTGACCCTCTTACAAGAATTATTAGGTATATCTTTATGTCTGAGAAGATAGCATAGAATGTGCACCTCCTGAAAAAAGAAACACATATCCTTGAAAGTGGGTCCTCTGATCCTGCTATTATCTTAGGTTCTCATCCGACAATTAAGTGAAAAAAGCATTAAGCATATCAAGTCTAAGTTTGCTGTGCATTTCCATTTATATACAGCCCTTTGCACACTCCGATGAACACATCTTTAGATAGAGAATTGAAGCATTCCATCTCATTCATGCTACAGTGTCTTACCTTATGGGTTGGGAGGGAAGTGAATGATTCCCTGGCTCTTAGGTTTCTATTACCCTCCCATCCAATTAAACACTTTGAATGGCTACAAAAACCTTTTAAAAATATATGAGAACATCATTATTGTTCTCACATTTACCCTAAATTAAGATTGCCATCACCAGTCCTTCAATCATTTTTCCAGTTCCAGCCTGCATATTAGGGAATCAATCCCCATCAACCAGGGCACTTTTGTTCCTGAGATGTGTATCTCTAATTAATTTGTGACCATGACTTTGTCTTCTTACATCAACTATTAAATAACCCCACCATGATATCAATGCAGTTCTTGCCATACGGAACCTAAGAAGGCAAATATATGTAATCACCTGTCATCTCCACTCTGAAATGTGCTAAAACACAGAAGGTGCCTGTGCTTATTCTGATCTGTGCGCTATTTGGACACTTTTGGCGCTCAAATTCAGGCTATCCAGGGATATAAGACTTGTGGGGGTTGCTAGTAATATTGTGTATGTTTTGGGCAGGGGTGGGCTGGGACGAGGGGCAGGGAGGCAATTGCCCCCCAGGCCACCCTATATCCAGGGCCACGTGGGCTGCCAGCTGCCTACAATATTATTTTTATGAGCGCATTCAGCGCTCACGCCGGGCAGGGCCGTCTTTAAGGTGGGGCAAAAGGGGCCCAGTTATTCCTGGGGGCCTAAAGCAGCTGCCCCTTGAGCCCACAAAAATCGGCCGGGCCCCTTCTTATTTTGTTTCCCCCACCCCTGCAACCCACGACCGGGCCCCTGACATTTGAACTCCTCCTCTCCGCGGCCCATTTTGATCTGTTCTTCCCCCGTGGCCTGCTGGGAGGGAGAACACATCACTTCCTCCCTAGTCCCAGCTGACAGGGCGGCGTGTGGGGAGGAGGAGGAGGAGGAGGCAACATAAACCTACTGCTGCACACGTGGAGGAGGGAAGGGACTCCCATCATCCGAGGACAGCCAGCTCCCACTGGACCTCAGGATATCAATCCTGCTGCATCAAAAGTGAGTAAATTGGAGGGTGGAGAAAATGTGTAAATTTGTTATTTATATATGTGTACCTGTGTCTCTGTGTGTATATGAGATTGTGCATATGTTTGTGTATGTCAGTGTGTATGTGTACCTGTGTGTAATTGTATGTGTACTTGTGTGTCAGTGATTACTTATGTGTATCTGTGTATGTGTACTTATGTGTGTATGTGTACCTATGTGTATGTGTATTTGTGTGTCAATGTGTACCTACGTGTACCTGTGTGTCTGTGTAATTTTGTGTATGTGTACCTATGTGTATGTGTACTGTGTGTCTGTGTATTTGTGTCACTGTTTCTGCATTCACTTTTCTCCTCCGCTCCTCCCCTGCATGTGGCGTGACGTTTCAGACAGAGACAGTCACGCTAGGGCCTCACTGTGACTGTGCTGGCAGTCTCCACCTCTCTCCCATGTGTGCAGCCATTCCAACGCGTGTTGTACACAGGAGGACACAGGTATGGGCAGCCCCTTGGCCAGCTACACACAGCAGCCCTCATGACCCCCAGCCCAGCAACCCACAAAGCCTTCCCTTCACCACCCACAAAGCCTCCTCTCTGGCACCCCCAGCAGCCCACAAAGCCTCCCCTCTGGCACCCCCAGCCACCTACACAGCCCCCCCTGCATATACATATACATACATATATATATATATATATATATAGAAAGGTAAAGTAGATAGCACTCCTCTGTCTTTCTTGTAAATAAAAAACAGCTTTTATTGCTCCAAGTGAAAAGGTCAACGTTTCAGTCTGCTGCTGCAAACTTTCATCAGGACATGATGAAAGTTTGCAGCAGCAGACTGAAACATTGACCTTTTAACTTGGAGCAATAAAAGCTATTTTTTATTTACAAGAAAGACCGAGGAGTGCTATCTACTTTACCTTTCTATGCTTTTTGCTGATCAGCACCAGGTTAATATTGGAATACGCAGTGAGTGCAACAATATCTGTATTTTTATATATATATATATATATATATATATATATATATATATATATATATATATATATATATATATATATATATATATATATATATATATAATGGCTGTTTTATATAATCTGGTTTATATATATATAATTTAAACCAGCCATTTATATTCTATAAACCAGCTATATAATCGTGTGTTTTACATATGTGTGTGTTTGTGTATATATATATATATATATATATATATATATATGTGTGTGTGTGTGTGTGTGTATATATGTGTGCGTGTGGTGTGTGTGTGTGTATGTATATATATATATATATATATATATATATATATTGTGTGTGTGTGTGTGCATACATATATATGTGTGTCTTTTTTGTCTTTGTTTTGGGGTGGCGGGGAGGGGTTGGATTGATGGCATGGGGGGGCAGGATCCACAGGGCCCAAGCAGATGCTTGCCAGGGTCCAATCACTACTAAAGACTACAATCACTACTAGGCAGCAATGTAAACACTGCCTTTTCTCTGAAAAGTCAGTGTTTACATTAAAAATTGTGCAGGGACAGGATAAAGGCTCAAAAACAACTACATTAAATTGTAGTAGTTCTGGTGACTACAGTGTCCCTTAAAATTTTTATTTTTGACGTTGAAAACTTTACTCCTAACTTTTTTTAGCTGGCTTCTAGATTCCAATTAAATTTGTCAAGCCCTAATGACGGTATATGGGATGGTTATCCCATTGATGTATACAAAACTTGCTTGATACACGGACTACACCTATATCCGTTATAAAACCAAGAAAAAGTGGGCATGGATGGTGAGCTGATTCGGTGGTGCAATGGGCCACTTGACTGGATTTGCCCCCCAGGCTAAAGGATGCCAGCCCTTCCCTGGGGTGTTTTATGTTTTATTCACTGTACCTCTAGTTCCTGGGAGATAATTAGTTTAAGCAAAGTAAATTCACTTATCTCCCAGACACAGAGAGCTGGAGACCCCATGCAGGGGTCTGTGTATAAAAGTGGGCCATGAGGCCATAATAAAATATTCCTGTTGTACCCTTCATCGGTTATTGACTAATGTTTGGATCTGTGAACAACTGAGAGCTAGAATTCACACGACCTTGCTGGATTTTGGGAAATTGCGAATTAACGTACGATACAAAGTACATGAGGTTCGTTACATGAATATTCTGTTTCACAATGACAATGCAAGAATGGAGCATTAATAAATATTGCAGCAAATTTCAGTATTGGTGGAGGCAAGCATGCTAAGTATTACAAAAGAGAATAAACTAAGAATGCTTATTATTGTCATAGTGTCAACAGTACAATATTTTACAGAGAAGTAACAGAACTGCCAGTGCTAATCAATAAGTAAAGAGTAGATTAGTCATAGTTAACAGTCTGCCAGTATAAAATGACTGTAAATCATGTGGATTTTAAATCAATTTTCCTAAGCTTCTTTTTATCTCATATTAAAGTGACTTAGTGCCTGGATCAATCCTATTCTCCACAGCTAATTTGACAGGGTCTACAAGTTTTACTTTTGATAAAATCTATGCATAAAATAATTAAATATTATGCTACTTCTCAAAAAATACATTTCATTTTTTTTTTGGCAATGTCTCCTGTATCACAATATCTGTTTTAACTTTCATTTCATCGCACTTAATTGTCTACTAAAGCAATACATATTATCTACTCAAGGCAAGGCACAAGTTGCACGAGGGGTGCAACCACTAATAAATTTAGGTTTACTTTGAGTACCTTCTTTGCAATGCAACTTTTAATTGTCATACTTTGTTTTGTACATTATTCAATATAGTGTAGCCTCTATATTCATGTGACAAAAATAAGAATGAGAGGAAAGTCATTTTGAGTCATGTTATACATATTCTCAGGGCCAGATTAAGAGCCCAGTGGGCCTGGTGCAGACAATTATGATGGGCCTAATTACAAAATCTTATCGACCAAAAACACTAAAACAGTCCTACCTCCCAAGCGTCATGTATCTGATGGAGATGGCGCTGGAGAAAACTCATAGGATGCAGCTATGAGAAAACACATACCCTATACTAATCTCACGCTTTCATCTTTCAAGTAAATCCATACACCCTAACAGCAGTGTACAGTAAAGTAGGAAGTCTATGGATGGAGTAAAAGGGTGGGCCACTGATGCAAATCACATAACCAGAACTGCGAAAGAGGCAAACATACTCAAAAAAGGGGTATGCCTCCCAGTCCCTTTGTGTCTGTGTCCCCATGTCTCCCAGTGTCCCCATGACACTAGGGGCCATTGAGAGACTTTCTGACACTGGGAGACATGGGAACACTGAGATACTAGGGAACACTGGAAGACATGGGGCACTGAGACACAGTGATACATAGGGGACACTGTGATATATAAGGGACACTGGAGACTTGATAAAGACCTGGGTACATGTCAAACCATTGTGATGTCCAATAAACCTGCTTAAATCTATCACAGTGAGCTGCATGATATTTTTTTCGTTTATACTAGGGGACACTGAGACACTTAGTGGGAAAGTGAGACATGGGGAAACTGGGAGACTAGGGGACACTGACACACTAAGGACACTGAGACACTACAGACACTGAGAGACACCAGGGACTCTGGGAGACATGGGGCACCAAGACACTGTGACACATCAGGGACACCGTGATACATAGGGGAGACTAGGGACTTGATAAAGACCTGGTTACAGATCAAAACGTTACAGGGTCCAATAACCCTGCTTAAATCTATCACAGTGAGTGCCTGAGATTTTTTCTTTTATACTAGGGGACACTGAGACACTGGGAGTATACCTGTCAGGAATGGAATGGGAATGGGTAACGTGTACCGGACCTTAGAATGGCCGGACTAACATATAAGAACAAGGGGTAGACAAATTTAAACCGAGGTCAAGTACAGAAATCAGGGTAAGCAAGTAAGCCAAAGCCGGGTTAAAGGAGTATAGAATGAAGAGTAGTCACAAATGGAGCCAAGATCAAAAGCTGGAATACAGAATACAGAACAAGCAGTATAGGGAACAAAAATGAACCATAATAGGGCAAAGAACCTAGCCCTTTGAGTCCTTTTTATACTGTGGCTTGTTAGGATGGTAGCCACGCCCCCAAAACGTCATAATCTGAACTTGATGTCATTAGCGTCATGACGTCGACGCCCCCTTTCCGCGTCATAAAAGGGGCGAGCTATCTCGGCCGGCGTGAAAGCGGCTGGAGAAGGAAGAGGAAAGCTGAAGGGGACATACAAAATCATGTGAGAGGTGAGTACCATGAGGTACAACCTTGGTCACCACAGAAGGGACCCTGACAATACCTCACTGGTGACTCACCTTCCCCCTACCTCTGTTTTTGTCTTTCCTTTTTTGGGTGCCATGAAGCACCTAGGGTATAAAACATAATTAAAAGCATAATTTAACTTATGTTTTGTCCAAGAACAGCTCTCTCTCTCTCTCTTATACCATAGATGCTTAATGGCAATACATTAAGTCTGCTATCACTGTCTTTTAGTTCTGACTTTTAGAATCTGAACAAGTTTCTATATTTACATCTAATATAGATATTTTTTATAAATACAAGAGTCTCTATATGTGGATAAATTAGAGTCTAGCTAGTGGAAGGTGAGATGATTATAGATTTGAGAACTGTCTGACAAAACAGGATATTATTAAAGCCTATATAATAGTGGCAGATTCATCACCGTGACTCAATTAAGAAGGGTTTTTTTGTGTTATTTTAGAGGTGATTTCTTGTTGGCATGGTCTATTAATAAAGCCAGAGTAGGGTGAAATTATTTTTATAATTATTCACTTTTTTAAATGAT